GTCCTTCACTTATTCTTAGAAGTCAGCACTTCAGTAAACAGGAAAAGAATACCAAATGACTTTGAAATAGTCACCTGGAGCTTTCTTAAGTAAGTACAAACTATAAAAATGACTAATTTTAGGTAACGATCCTGGCTTAACATTTATCAAATGAGTCAGCGACTCGTACCCAAAGAGCTGAAGATAGAACTTCTGCTCTAAGGAACTTCACACTGGTAAACATGTGCAGGCACGGTGAGTCAGCGGTGAACTGAAAAAACAGCATATGTGAAGAAGTCGAGGGGACGTCTAGGGGAAGGGTCCATGACCTGAAGTCTATGGCTGGAGAAAGCCAGGAGCTACCCTCCATATTTGGGATATGATAACAGGTTTAATAATCCTCATGAGAGCCTTCTGATTTGGTTGCTGTGTTATTGTCCCATTTTACAGATGAGAAAACTGATGCTCAGAGAGGTTACCTGACCGAGCTCCCTCATCTAGTACATGGTGGACCTACCACCAGCTTTCTGAAGTTGCTTGACTCTTTCCAAGCCTCCCATTTTCTTATTTATAAGGTAGAAATAAGTATCTCATAAAGAAGTTTTTAGTGAGATAATATATATAAAAGCCCCAGCATCTTATCTCATTGATAGTGCTCAGAAAATGGTTGTTACTGTTTTGTTTATTTACTGTGGTACTTGGGTTTGAATCCAGAGGCACTTAACCACTGAGCTATATCCCCAGTTCTTTTTATTTTTTAATTTGGAGACCAGGGTCTCACTAAACTGCTGAGGCTGGCCTTGAACTTATGATCCTCCTGCCTCAGCCTCCCTTAGTAGCTAGAATTTCAGGTATGTGTACCATACCCACTGATTGATAGATTGAATGGTGCTGGAGATTAAACCCTGGCCTCATACTTGCTAGGCAAGTACTTGACCACTTTGCTATATCACCAGCCCAGCCAGAATTAGAAAACGTGTTACATGTTGACAAAAAATGTTCAAATTGGAAAATTTAGGTGGATGGGAACTTGACAGCCCTAGTTCATCTGTCCATTTAAGGTCCTTAAGGAGTGAAA